ACCCTTTCGTGTGTGATTCATGATCAAACATGAACAGATATCAGTGCCTTCTCACGTGTTGCATTCCTCCATTCCAAGTCATTCCTGCATGATGACACCACCACTCTGTATCGATACGTGGTGAACACTAATCGTCCGTTTTGACCCTTCTAACCTGGAAACAATCGCGCGTCACCTTGCCTGGTCGCCTGACCAAGGCTCAACTACTACACCTTTTAAGTCAAATTAAATCCAGAACGGAAGCAAGCTCCTCCTTAAGAATATTCAACTGAATCCACAAGCACACCAACTTGAATCTAAAGTGGCGCACACGCACAAATGCGTGCCCCATCGTCTTGACCAATTGCAAATCACCGCACGAGTACTCAGAACGTCTGCATCGGTTGGTGCGGCGGTTAGACTGCGCTCAGCCAACAAACCAGGTGATGCACACGCGGGCGTGAAAACAACACGTGAGCTCAGTCCCTGTAGGATGCGGTGCGGACTAACGCGAGGCATCTATGGATGGTTGAGGAAGTACTGTAACTCCCACTCCCTCACTTGGGCGGCATCAAGACACACAACACAGAGCTGGGGACCGGAGTTATTCCATCTGCGTTCACAGTGCTCACTGTTGCGCGCAGACGACCGGACGTGAAATGTGCTCCACAATGAGACAGTATCGATTGCCTTCACTGAAGGTAGCTGCATGCAAGCTAGCAGACATGCCCGTCAACCCCACCTGGTTTGACCTATGCTTAGCGGGTGTCTACGTGTGATCGATTGTGGATAATATTGCCTAGGTGAAATAATGTGTGCGGTGCTTCAGTACGCGGTATCATGGAACAATGCGTTAGTAATCGGGGTGTGTGTATGGCCGAAGTACCTGTTAACTACAGTTGCTCGGCCTTAATGATGAGGTTAGCATCAGCATCTGCACAGCAATGCAGGATGTACTGCAGTGAGCTTTGCGGAAGGGTACCTCTTAAATTGTGATAACGTTACCGGGTTGGCAACAGCTTGCGTTTACTGGTCTATATGCAATCGTTAGTATATTGTAGTCGTTGACATGGTGAACGAATCTGTTTGTAAAGAAGCGCCGGTTGACGAAATATCGGTTTGGAAGCTAATCATTCTTGCAAACAGAGCAGTCAAGGAATTATGATGTGCAACTCCATGGTGAGCGATTTCAGATTCCTCAAAAGTGAGCTTTTCTGATCCACTTTTATGTTCAAAATGTGCCATCGACTTGATACCAACAACTTTTGGCCATTTACTTGAATTTGCCAGTATTATGTACAAAATAGTGGACATTGACGATCTAATGATAACACCATGTTCTCGAGTGCCTACTTCCGACTGCAACCAGAGCTAAAACAATATACGGCGCAACGTCGGTTGTTTTAACCACCTTAAGCTTCGGCCACTCCCTAGGTTAATTGCTACAGTCAAACTGCATTCCACCATACCCACTGCGTCGCATTTTGGTACTTTGGTGAGGAGAGCGCTAACGTTAACGTAAATCATCGTTTCACAGGAACTTATGACGCTCCTTTACAAACGTATTCGTTCACCATGTCAACGGCTACAATATACTAACGATTGCATATAGACCAGTAAACGCAAGCTGTTGCCAACCCGGTAACGTTATCACAATTTAAGAGGTACCCTTCCGCAAAGCTCACTGCAGTACATCCTGCATTGCTGTGCAGATGCTGATGCTAACCTCATCATTAAGGCCGAGCAACTGTAGTTAACAGGTACTTCGGCCATACACACACCCCGATTACTAACGCATTGTTCCATGATACCGCGTACTGAAGCACCGCACACATTATTTCACCTAGGCAATATTATCCACAATCGATCACACGTAGACACCCGCTAAGCATAGGTCAAACCAGGTGGGGTTGACGGGCATGTCTGCTAGCTTGCATGCAGCTACCTTCAGTGAAGGCAATCGATACTGTCTCATTGTGGAGCACATTTCACGTCCGGTCGTCTGCGCGCAACAGTGAGCACTGTGAACGCAGATGGAATAACTCCGGTCCCCAGCTCTGTGTTGTGTGTCTTGATGCCGCCCAAGTGAGGGGGTGGGAGTTACAGTACTTCCTCAACCATCCATAGATGCCTCGCGTTAGTCCGCACCGCATCCTACAGGGACTGAGCTCACGTGTTGTTTTCACGCCCGCGTGTGCATCACCTGGTTTGTTGGCTGAGCGCAGTCTAACCGCCGCACCAACCGATGCAGACGTTCTGAGTACTCGTGCGGTGATTTGCAATTGGTCAAGACGATGGGGCACGCATTTGTGCGTGTGAGCCACTTTAGATTCAAGTTGGTGTGCTTGTGGATTCAGTTGAATATTCTTAAGGAGGAGCTTCATTCCTTTATCGATTCAATTGACTCGTTAAAAGTATAGTTTGTAATCGACCCCATAATCCGGTCCGGCGAACGACTGCCTGACGATGGCGACGGGAGCCGATAGACGTGCCATATGGTTTCAGTGACTAATGACTGGTCATTGATGGCTAATCCGAAGTGCATAGGTAGTTAGCGACATGTTTTGATACGGATGATGTTGTTATTAAACTTATTTAGCGACCGCTTGATGATCCAATCCGCGTACTAATATTTACCATCCACAAAATGCCATTTTACTCCTTTGGGGTAATTACCCCCAGGTTGGGAACCACTAACTTAGATCGATGATGAAGGGGGTTTAAGGTGGACAAAAGATGTCTGGGACTCTTTTAGCATTGCCGTGTGCGACCGGCCCCCCAGTAGTGACGTGTACCAGACTTAACAGATCAGTGGTAGATGAAAACTCAATGTTTTCTAGGGAACGTATGTTTTCTATAATTCTTCTTCAGGCTTGTACAATTATATGCATTAGCGGTAGCCTGAAAGAGTGGTCGATTGGAATACCGAATATGGGTGGTAAAAATAACTACAGCTTTCATACTTGTGCATGCCAATCCGCCGCCTGCTAAGGTTGTGATGCGCAAACCCCGAGGAATACAACGATGTGTGGATGTTAAGTACCGCTCGGTTTCAGCACGCTAAAGTTGGAGTAGTGGGATGCACTCGGTAGCTGCTGGCAGGCTGGTGTTGTATGGCGTTTTGACCGTAATCATGATCAGACAACTGTGCAAGACTACACAATGCATGCACTGCCAAAATGCGCAAGATATGGATACTGCCCCCTTCTGTTAAACAAACAGATAAGACTCTACCCAGTAGATGAAACCTACTTGAAGCGGACTAAGACCTGGATGTAATGGCAATGCGCCTACGTCAATTCAAAGCAAAAGACAAGCTGTTGTTCGACAGTCAGAAGAAAGTCGCGAGAGGCAACAACTGAAGCGAACGTCAGATGATCAGGTCATCAAGCAGGAAAGTAGTAGACAGATGCAGGCAAATAAGGTTGTAATATGGGTAAGAGTAAAACAGTGGCAAGCCGACTGCAGTCCAGATCTGATAAAAGTTTTGCACAATAGGTAACAAACACTTTCCTGGCTGCTAGGATTACCAAACCCGCGGTCACACAGGGGCTCTATACCTCTCTCGTTCGGTGCCTGTTGGCATAGAAGTGAAAACCATAAACACAGCAGTAGACCACAATTCGTCACTGACCAGGAAAAAGCTACAAGCGGAAATACAATCGGTTGAGAAAAACGCAGTAATGTTTGAACAGCAGGGATCAGCCCATACTTCTATAACTGGTGGGTTAGGTCAGATCTAGTTCGAATGAGGCGACACACACAGTATGTGAAACATCGACATTATCATCCACCTATCGTGTACCTTGACGAAGTGAGCGACCCCCACCACATCATCGTCATTGACAGTACCTATGAATGTCAAACACAAGAACATCTGGTCAAGATCGTGACTCCAATGCGTGAAGATTAAAGACGCTTCCCCACGAACGTCCACACAAGTTTGAGAGCAAACGTTATGTACTCTTGTCAAAATTAGCCCAAACTATCAGCGGGAAATGTAAAATAACAGTCGGTATTAAACACTTATTCCAGCATTCGTTTGACTATTGCCCTTATCAAATGCAGATACTTGATTCCAACCGCTACTACTACCTACTGTCTCCGATTAATGTCGTCTTCTCTCTTCCTTGAGTTGTCACTTCTGGGAACTACAACTGTTGTGACGGTATCGTATAGCCAACATCCCCACTCAATTGTAGTCTAGAAGATGCGTTACTAGATTGTGAATGGTGAATTGTGTCACACAAACTGTAGCTTGCGTATTTACCGATAAAGAACATAATTACTTTCGGAGAGGCGGTTGGGATTAATTTTCATAGGAGATTCGCAACAGCTACAGGCTACCACAGTGCATCCGGACTAGCACTAGACAGTCATTTTGTTTAGTCGGGACTCGTTAAGAGTGCATATTGCAGTTGTCCGGCGAATTGTCCAAACTCGCACCTTCACACTCCAAGGCCAGTAATTAACGCCACTTGGCGACGGTAGATGGGTGCTAGCCGTTGTGACCAAGTAAGCCTTTCGCGGAGCTCTCCTCACTGGTTCAAAAAGCCCACTTAATGTAACGCTAGTCAGTGCCAAACTCGTGCATTGTGGACGAGTCCCCGGTCAGGACAAAAACGAGCTTAACCGGTGCGTCAGTTGCAGATATCTCTTCACCCTAGGTTGCTCATCCCCGCAAGACCAGCAGACAAACGTGAAATGCTGGAAGAGACTCACGTAACTCGCAATTGCGAGGCCGGGTGACCCCTGGGGTTGGATGATGCTTAATGGCCAGTATCCACAATCCCAGGAATGGTGCTCCAGTGAGTATAGAAATTCAATATTAGGAATGTAGGGGTTGGTGACCTCGTGTATGTCGCGTTTCATCATGTTCCTGGTGTGTGTTCGATGCAGTATCAACGCACAGAAATAATACGATCTGTTTAACCACAGTTACATTCCCGTGAACGACACAGACCAATTTCATTTTGCCATAGCGAACTGCTCATATTCCGTACCTGGTTACATATTTCCAGGCGCTGAAGGAATTGGGGACGCTGACGGACCCCATCTCCGTTGAATCACATGTTAAGGAGTACATGAACCGGGTTCATCAATTATGGTATGCACTGATGAAGAACGAAATGATTCTGGTAGAGGAACTGGATGAGCTGATGAGTGAATTCAAGCTCAACATGGCGGATATGGTGAACAGCTTCATTGAGCGTACTGAGGTGAGTCTTGGAACGAGCGTTCTCCAGCTAAACACCATTGTAATTATCAATTGACATCTTATGCCTTGGATCTGAGATAATCGTGAAGTCAACGACTTATTTTCTGTTTTATCACAGGAACATTTTGCACAGTGTCGACAACTGCAGGCACAGTTCAGTGATAGACTGATGGACTTGTACCCAACCGTACTGGAGCGGTTCCTCAGACCAGAAGTCGACGTAGTAGCCCCGGAGGAGACTCGCACAGTGAGTTAGTGAGCATGAATCTTCTTAATCATTCCAAATGTTTACGGGCAAAAGACAAGCGTGGTTCCAAGGCAAAACTATGTCCTCACCGTCTGGTTTTTTGATGCATGCCGACCATAAGGGCTGATCGTAAACGTACATCTGTTCTGAATCTCGCTCTTTTTGGCATATGCATGGCCACATCGGCATGAAGCCAAGTTTTGTGAACACTGGTTCAGGATCCATAGAAGCCAAATGGCTGTCTTACAAGTACACCTCTCGGACTGGTTGTTTCAAACGTGATCGCGATGTTAGTTTTGCTACACTGGGGGAAATACATGTGCATACTTTTCGAGAGGCTGTGCTCAAGGCAGAACAGAAGATGCTCTACAGACGAGCACATCTTTTACTTAGATGAACAATAAACATGCAGACTACACTAGTAATAGAAGACGATGTGTAATTCATGGTAAAATATACATTCTGGATTAATTTCGTGGTTAACGCATTTTCTCAAATACACGAAGTCTTAACCCAATAGGTTCAGGCTTTGGGGTCCAAACTACGCTCATTTGGAGAAATGCTTCGCAACATGGAAAGAAAGTAGGGTTAGTGTGTTATGGTTATGGCCCAAGACAGTAGCAACAAAATGCGATAATAATGTTATGATGAACCCGAGCCCAAATACCTTACATGCCACTTCGAACTGTGGCTGTATACACTTGTTGATATGGGTAGGAGCCGACCTCAATGGTGTTTGTGTTGTGAGTTTCTTTGTTCTTCCCCATCCCGCTTAGCCTCCCCTCTAACCACGATCTCATTTATTAGGCATAATATAACTCTTTTTGCGGCACAAAAGCCGGATGTTAGCTCCCCGGAGCGATGTCCATCCGTTAATAGTGACTCAGTCGGCGGGCAACCGTTTCATTTGTTTTTCTTTTTTGTATTGCGGCACAATAGCTGAGGTGTTTTCCACCTGTAGCTAACGTGCATAATGAATGAGTGGCTTCAAACTATGCTAAGGCGATGATCAATGTGAATGCCTTGGCAGCACATAAGAAGACGAACATCTTAAAAAAAGTAAAATGATTGCCAGTGTGAACGAAAACATTTCTTCGAAAATACAGTGGATCTGTGCATGCATGCGCTTGTGCATTAATAATGACGCCAGATGGCAGATTGTAAGATGGATATGAATGCACTTTCCTCAGAAACACAAGCGTCATTTGGGATAAACACACTTCGAAAGCGGCTAACATCTGGCTGTTAAGTGACCTCCAACAAATTTGGTCCGTTGCTAATCCAAGGTACACCGTTTCTTTCCAGATTTTCATGGACAAAGACAGTGTGATCAACGCAATACAGGCCAGCAATGATGCCCATTTAGTACAGATTGATTCGTGGGCAGACAGAGTCAGTCAAAAAGCCCGCGCGTGGTTCAGCGAACTGATGGACCGGCTAGTGGAACAAGAAGGCTATGAAAGGAATCGGGCTCGTGTGATGGAAATCAATCAGTTAACGGATTCCTTCCGCGAAGAAATCGAAAAGATCGATCTTGTCACAACAGGAGAAGTATGATCGCTGTACTCGAAACCAGACAGGTTCTCGTCATACATGGTCACAAAAATAACACTCTTCAACCCTACTCACATTGTCTTCTTGGTTGCCTCCAGTGTCTACAACACGGCGTGTAGTTTCCACCTTGTCTAAAAGTAGATCCCCTTTGGTTTAAAAACTGTAATTTTTCGGATAACAAATGTTCCGGAAAGTTAGCTAGCCATCTGGGAAGGCTACCACACGCGTAGAAGCGCGTGACTAAACCACTCCCATACAGAGCATCTGAGTGGTCCCCGTACCTCAACTATCCGCATCACACGCCAACACAGACGAGGCCATTGGCAACAAACTATTGGCTGCGCGGTCCACCTAATGCCCGGTTGCTCAGGGCATAAAATGCTTGCTAATCGGCTGCGCTGCAGTCGAAAAATATCCATATATCACCGAGAAAGAGGTATGGAGGTACGATGACCCGTCGACTAGGTAAAACAAAGTTGAGGTAACAATTACAATCAAAACAAGCATTCAACTTACAGGTTATTTAGACTGCATCGTAGATGACAGTTATTACAAAGGCAAAACGGATGCTATACATACGGTTGCCGCACGAAAAGTTGAACCGAACACCTTGCGTCCTCAGGCTTGCAAGTTACACTGCTCCACTCACAATATTCGCAGTAAGGTTCACCAATGTAATCAACGCCAAAAAGTACTCATTGACCATGTGGCAAGATACTGAGAGAGTACCACCATATGGACACCGTACCCACTGCTCTTTCTGTGGTAATACAAAAGGTGAGCAGAATGTTTGTCCAGATCAGAAACATGGTCTGTTAAACTAAGCAATATGCTAACTAACCGCATCGGAGGTGGATCTTCTGTGTTAAGTTCGCACGAATAAAATATCGTAGAGAGCACAATCTTTGTGAAGATTCATCGCAGCTAGACTCAGACAGACAGTCACCACACAAGCAGAAAAGCGTTAGACGGCCATTTCGTCCTATTAGGGCTCGTCAGTAGCGCGCACCCCTCGAATCCTGCCGCATACGAATCCACGACTTTACGCTTACGAGTCAGCGACTTATGCCAATGAGCAGTGGGTGGTGGCATCAGACAGTCATGACTGATGCCTAACTGCGATGTAGTGCGGCCAATCCCCCATAGCCATGTAGGATATACACGTGCAGAGGACAGGGCTGGCATCCAGAGGCACGAGTTTCTTTGCAAGCTGCCAGCAATCGAGGTGGAAGATAAGCTGCTAATGCGACTACTAAGCATTGGTAAGTAGTAGGGGGATTTATTGGGATTTAGTGGAGATCCGTCGCCTTTGGACTCAGGCAGTCAGCCACCTCATATCCAGGAAAGTAATAGGCGGCCGTTTTGTCCTGTTGGGACTCGTCAGTAGCGCGCGCCCGCCGAATCCTGCCGCATTCGAATCCACGACCTTACGCTTACTAGTCAGCGACTTATGCCACTGAGGAATGGGTGACAGCAGCGAACCGCCATGACTGAGACCTAACTGCGATATAGCGCGGCTCATCCGCTACTGTCATGCATGTCATAAACGTGCAGAGGACACGGCCAATGATGAAAATGGATACGCTATGCTACCTAAGTCAACGGAGAACTGGTTATATCGTCGTTCAATGTGAGGTGTAGTGCCTAGTTCCATTAGAGCACCGACGTACACGCCAGTTGCACCGCTGCGCTGCTTCGCCTCTGAGACTGCGACTGTATGTCTGCTCAATCACGCGCACAACCAAACGAAGGAAACCAAAAACCCAGGGTTCGATAGACAGGGTATGTCCTACAGTATAGGTCGTCTCTATTTATTAATAAACCATACATACTAACTTTGGAAAGCATGGTCATCGGATCTTCGACATCTGTTCGCAGCCAATGTGACTGAGTTCCGTTCCACTGGTTTGCCACAGTTGGCAGAATCGTTCGTGTTCGACTCCGCCCAAACCCTGGAAGCCGACTTGAATTTGTGTCTGAATCCCAAATTTGGCAGAACAGATAAACGTCATTTCTCGCCTGTGCGCATGGTCTCCACATGCAGCTGCTTGGTCACGTGCACTCCAGTAAGCTGTTCCGGTAATGTTGGCACCTAGTGTGTGGACATTGACTCCATTAAGGTCTCTATTACGCCACGAACATCTTATTCGGTAAACGATAAAAGATTTGAGTAAATATGCCGCGAAAGTATGACCATGAAGGTTTCCTCTGGGCGATACTGATTCCGAAAAAGCCTCAGCCATGCCGGGGTTCCAAAGTATCATCATCAACAGAAGGTACTACATCTGTACTCGGTGCTGGAGTTTCGTTATAATATGCACAAATTGAAAGAGAGAGCAATATTAGCGGTAAAAAAACGGGGAAGATATAGACATAGATGTCTACACCTTGACAACACAGTACGGCTGCAAACACTGGCCAGCACATGAAGATGAGGTGTCGGTGTTGCTCAGCGTCAATATCCGCATCAATGTGATCAGTAGAAGGTTTAGTTGGTGCAGATACTGCTTGATCGATAAACAGTGATGAACCCGAAGCAGGTTGCTCTTTCATGGATTTTGAATTTTTAGTGCTATCCTGCTTAAACGAAGAAAAATGGTGACCATTTTAATGGTCCGTGGTGAAAAAAGTGAAAATGATAGGTCGCTTAGTAAAGGATAAGCTTCGGGTGCTTGAAAAACCATGCGGGTAAAACACTTCAATAAAACTAAATCAAATCGACCCCAAGCTAAAAATATCAAGGTACTAACATGGTAACACCAGCTACAGAAATCATAGGAATAGTCAAAACTACACCATTTTACAGGCATGTTGGCGCATTGCACCAAGCTTTTATCCTGGCACCTTTTCGAAATCGCGTGCTGTACATTCAAGTTCGCGAGCCCGAGAACGCTGTTTTATCGCCGTTGACACTGTCATTGGTCAGGGGACGTTAGCCAATGGGAAACCGTTTGGAAGCCCCGAGCATAAACGACAGACAATTCACTGAAACTGGTCGAGCGCCACCTTCTGTGCTGCCCTGATGCACGTCTGAAGGAAACCCCGATGATTTCTCTCCAAAATGGAACCGCCCAATAGGCAACTTGTGACGGCTGTCTAAGGAAGTGATCCTAGCTACCACATGATCCAAAGCTTACGCGTTAACCAGTGCGGACAGACATACTAACCACCACATAAAGCGGCCCATACTTATTGATCGCTAGCCGCTACCTGCTGGTGGCTTATTTCAGCGGCCTAGCCACGGTTACGATGGTGGCGTAGACAGGCATTTTTCCAACAGGTATTCCGTAGTCCCTTAAGTCTGAGGGAGTCATCCAGGCCTGCATTTGCGCTTGGGTAGGCATGCGCCGCGGCTAGAACACTGTACACCCTAAGATGAATCAGCAATGGCACTCCCGCAACCCGCCTAGAGGTGGTTTTAGACGGCATGACATTTTGGAAGGAAAGTAAACCAATGGCAGCACAGCCACCGTCTTTAGGCAAATACCAAGGATAAGCCTATGGAGTGGATTCAAGCGATAAAGGAATGTGCTATGTAAATTGCAATGCGTAATATTTATAGGTAACGTCGCAATCGCGCCTCGGTTTCTTTGATTTGCGGTGGGTTACTGGGCAGCTAAGATGTCTGTGTCCGGACGTGCATCGGGCGTAGACCGCATTAAACGATGATGACCGTACGTGCGACACTCGCCTGAAGTGAGGGAGGGAATTTTGAGTGTCTATGAGCAAGAGGTGGATTGGATGAATGCTGCTTCATTGTTGAATGTGAAAGTGAGAACGTGCCGTAGTTGGATACGGATGTTGGAATCCGAGGAACGGAGGGGACAACACGGTGGGGCTCGCCGCAGGTCCCCGACAAAAAGTCACATCGATGCTCTGATCGAGTGGGTATCTGAAGAACCAACTGTTACTTTAGCAACTCTCCGTTTGCGGTTGAAGGCTGAATTCGACGTTGAATTTAGCATCACTACAATTTCCAGATAGATTGACGGTCGTCTTATCACACTATAGAAGTTGCACACGATCCCGGAATCCATGAATATTTTTGCAAACAAAATGCGACGGAGGCTTCTTGTGTTGCAGCTGCTACAGTTGCAAGCAAATGGGAGATAGCCCGTTTGGATTGATGAGACCAATTTCCATCTATTTTGTGCTCGCACGTGGGATCGTTCACGGAGGGGAACTCGAGCACAGTGTACGGTGGCGAACAGCCGCAGGCAGAATATGCACGTTGTGGGTGCATTTGTAGGTCGACAGAAGCCAGTGACTACTCGTGCACCGGAACGACAACAAAAGCGGGATTGTAGAGAATTAACAACGGGCGCAGTGGATGTGACGAGACAATGCTCTGCGAGCGTTGCGGATCGAGCCGACAGCGGATCACGAGCGGCATCTGGTAACGAGCCTTCGCCCAGAACAATGGAGGAGGTAGTCGTCGAGAACGCAATGAATCAGACAAATACGCCGCTAGTGGAGCCCCCATGAGTGATCATCATGATCATTACCAGCAGTACATCAACCAGTTGAATTGATGCTTCGCTGCCATACAACCATGGAGACCTATGAAATAAAGAATTAGAAGAGGGAGAGAAGCGGGACTTACCTGAAAACCTTAATGCCCTAAGCAAATATTCAGGGTTAAGGCGCCTACACCTTGTGTAGACAACATACCGTTACAAACAGCTGGCTATCGTGCAAAGGTAAGGCGGCATCGGCGAGACAGCTTCCTTGCGGTTTTCACTGCCCCGCGTCATAATCAGCCCTTACCCCGCAGATAACTCAGCACCAAACACACTTTAAACAGGCAATCTGATTAGAAGACGGCAGCAGATGCGCCACTGGTGTCTACTGCGAGCCATGCCCTGTAAAGTCTCGAACCAATCACAAGGCGAGTCACGTGGACTCCAGCGCGGAAGGCGAGACGGACCAACGGCATCCAGTTTGGTCGTCAGTGACTTCACGCTGCCAAGTCAACTTCTGTCCACCTCGAGCCTTGCGCCACCCTAAACCTGGTAGACGGAACAATGCCCTCCTAGCTAAGCGGTGATCAGGCATACGTAG